TTCCCCAAGGCCTATCTCTGGAGTGGCCTGGCCTGTGGGTTTCTGGGCTTCTGGCCCCTGTCTGGGGGAGGGATTGTGGTGGGGTCTGTGGGTCGCCAGCCCCCACTCACCGTGGGTCGTCGCTGTACTGCACCACTGAAAAGCGCACGCCCTGAGCACCCGCTGCCCCAGAGAAAGGCAGCACCAGCCCTTCTAGGAAGCTGCGGACTTCTCGAAAGTTGTTGCGGCCGATGGATGAGGAGCCGTCGAGTAGGAACACGATGTCAGCCGCGTAAAGACGCGTGCAGGTCACTGGGATGGGACAGGGAGAAGGCGTCACAACCTCTCCTGGGAACCCACTACTCCCCTCCCAGCACTGGGGTCTTTGAGGACTGGGGGGCGGCCTCATCTGTTTATGTAAACCCGGCCCTGGAGGCTTGGAGGGACCCGCGGCGGGTCCGAAGCGGACGCGGTCGCGGAGTGTTGGGGCCTGCGAGGCCGGGGTGGGGGAGGGGCGGTCGGTCGGCGCGGGTGTGAATCTGGGACAGAGGTCGACCACTGGGGACGGGTGCAGGTCTAAGAGGGACCGGAGCAGGGTGGCGGAGGGTAGGGCATTCAGAGCGCGTTTGGGGAGCCAGAATTGGGGATTTACGAGGTTAGCGGTTTGGGGGACCCCGTGCGGGTTGTGGGGGGCTTGGGGAGTTCAGGACCACTTGGGAGGAATCCGCGCGGGTCATGGAGGTGGGGTTGGTGGGGGGGAACCAGGATGGAGGCCGGGTGGAGCTGCGGGTGACGGGGTGCAATGCTCTGGACAGGGCCCTTCCCGCGCCGCGCGCACCTCTCTCCCCGTGCTGGGCCCGCACTCGGGGCGCCCCCGCCAGGACCCCAGCGCAGAGAGCCGCCACCAGGAGTCGCAGCCTCATCCTGGGTGAGGAAAACGGTTAGCCAGGACCCTCGCCCCTGCCCCTCGCCCCCCGCAGCCTCAAAAGGTCCGAGCCCAGCGACCACTCTACCCTCCTCCAGCCAGCTGCCCGGCTCGGCCTTGCCTGCGCGTCCGCCTGCACCAGCTGCCGCCTCCGCCGCCGCCGCAGTCCAGCCGCAAAGGCAGAGAAAAGTCCCTGATCCCAGGGGGCGGAGCGGCGGGCGGGGACCCAGGCGGCCCGCCCCCACCCACCGCCCCGCAGGTCGCCAGCCCCTGCCACCTCTGCCCAGGCAGATGATCTGACTTTGCTTAAATGTAAAGCCCCCTCCCGTGGCCTCTGGGAATTCCCCACAGGTTTCCCACCGGAACCGATGCTTGAGGGAGCCTCCCCAACCCCTGGAGGGTTAGAGGACTTGGCTGCTTTTGGTCAATCACAGAATGCCTGGTGAAACGACTGCTGGAGACTGGGAGGCAGACTAACTCCTGTAAACAGAAGTGGCAGCAGCAGAGGTGGATAGCGGCGGCAACAGCTGGAGATGACTCACTCCACCCTGTAGGGGGCCCAGACAAGCCCTCAGGCCAGGAGTCCCGCCGGCCAATCCTGTGATTCAGCCATCCCTCCGTCTGTCTATCAGAACTCCTGCAGCTCACCCCATATACCCTTACCGGTTGTAGCAGCCCCAGCAATTGCGGGGCTCTGGGGGTGCAGTGGTTAAGCGTTTGAATGCTAACCAAAAGGCTGGCAGTTCGAATCCATCAGCGCTCCTTGGAAACCCTACGGGGCAGTTCTACTCCGCCCTATACGGTTGCTGTGGGTTGGAATTGACTTGATGGCAACGCGTTTGTTTGTTTGTTTTCGGTTTGAGAGCGTCCCGGGGAAACCCAGGCCCAACTAGGCTGGGTCTCGGTAATGCCCCACCCCCCACCCCCACTTGCAGGGGGGAGCCAGAAGGCAGAGAGAACCTGTGTTATGCTTGTGCCTACGTGTTCATCCCAATGCCCCACACCCCCTACCGTGACCTGAACCAGTCTCAGGCACATGCCGTCCAGCTGTGCCTGCAGAGAAGGGGGCTGCCCAGATGCGGAGCGAGGGACCACTTCCGGAGACAACTCATCCCTCAGGAATCTACGCTCTCCTGCCCACACCCACTGGTGGGCTGTCTGAGCCCCAGGCTGGGTTACCCCCCCTGAGCTACACGTTGTCATTCTGGCTTGTCAGACTCCCCTCCTTCAGTCAACCCTTCTTGAAGACCTCCTTCCACTCATCACCCCCACCAGGCCGAGGGATCACCCTGGGCCCCTCCCTCATTTCCTCACTTCACATACGCTAATGGTCATGAGACCCGTAGTTTCAGAACCACCCCCCCCCGCCCCACTCCCTCTCCCCTTACCCAGTCTGACTTCCCATCTCCCCTTCCCTGACTGGCTTCTGTGACTGCAGTCTCCCCAATGCCTCCCTCTCTAGTCTAGTTCAGGGGCACTATCCTGAGGATGTGTCCCTTCATGGGGGGGGTGACACCAAGGCAGAGGGGTATTCCTAAAAAGAGGAAGTCCCCAACCAGCCCTGCCCATTTCTTTTCCCACTGGTCCTGAGTGATTCCGGGCAGGCCAGAAAGCACACCTACTCACCATTACCACCTGCCCCTTCCCACATGGGGATCCACAGGCTGAGTGGGGAGAGACAGGGACAGTGTTCCTGTTGAACTCAGGCCTGAGGACTCTCCGGTATGGCCAGAGCTGAGGGCAGTGAGGACCATCCATGCTGCCCAGGAAGGCCAGAGTTGCAGGGACAGCCCCTCTTATTGTGACTCCCACAGGAGACGGTGTCAGGGAACCAGACATACTCTTGTTACAGAGGCAGCCCCTGCCCCTGGTACAGTAAGGGTGGGTGGGAGCAGGGCAGAGCTGTTGTGTGGACAGCACGTTGGGTCCAGCCTTTGGGGGAGAGACTAGAGGCTCAGCTGAGAGGGTGTTCAGACAGAACTCTGAGGTACCCACAAAAGAAAAGAAGGGGTTTTGTGAGGGTGTCACTGGGAGAGGAGGCTGTTGGGAGGTTGAACAGGGTTAGGGTTAAGTACCAGCCTGGAGCCCCTGTGAGGCATATGAGCAGGGCATGGCCCTCCAAGGCCACTGGCTCCAGCCTCCCAGCAGGCACACAACCTAGGGCACAGCCCCAGAGGTCAGCATCTCCCTTAGCTCCCTTCGAGTTCCCAGAACTCAGTCCTCCCCGCATGCTCCACACTCCCCTAGACATTCTCTTCCCTTGCTTCAGGGCAAGATGGCATATTTGTCTCTAGCTGGGCTTTACAGAACTCCATTTCCACACATTTTTGCTGCCTCTCAGACACCCCTGAACTCACCAGAACCGTGGCCAAAGCTGGGCAGGTCATCCTCCTACAACCTACCCCTCCTCCAGAGTTCCCTAGCTCTGCTGGGGGTGCTCTCCTGCTTGTGTCCCCCTCTGGCTCTCCTCCTCCGCCAGTGACCTCTGCTCTGCCAGCGCGGCTCACCAGCACCGGCGCAGACACCCACGCTAATCTCGGTTGTGACCACATCCCTCGTGTTCCTAGTAACCTGATGCCGCACCCGCAACGTGCCTCCAGGGTAAAACCAAACTACCTGGCTTGGCTTTCAAGGTCTGTTGAGGCTAGATCACGCCCAGCAGGCAGAGCTCTCTCACGTGCCCAGCATGTCTGTAGCCTTTGAGGGTCAGACCTGGGCACTCAAACTTGGGGCAGCAGACTTGGCACCTACTGTTCCCTCTGCCTGGTGTGCAGCATCTACTTGTCCTCCCATGTACCTACAAGTACCCAGGGGCAGGCTGTCAGGGTTCTGCGCTGTCCAGCAGCTTCTCTCCAGCTGGTCAGACAGTAGAAAGATGAGCTAGCAAGTCCGCCAGCCAGTTTCTGGGCTCTAGAGCCACTTGACAAATGTTTCCTGATTGACATCTGTGGCAGCAAATGGGAGTCCTTGGGTGGTACAAATGATTAACACACTCAGCTGCTAACTGAAAGGTTGGAGGCTCGAGTCCACCCAGAAAGGCCTGGCAATATACTTCAAAAAATCAGCCATTGAAAACCCTATGGACCACAGTTACTCTGACACAGATCAACTCCACAGCAACAGGTGGTGGTGGTAGCCACAGCAAATGGGGGTGAAAAAAGGCACTGGAGCAGGCCAGGAGTGAGCAGGGCTGTTTTGGCTGCTTCCAGGCTGGGATGCTTGGGGGACTTCTGAATGGATCCTTTTCTTGGCCCCTTGCCAGCCAGCAACTTCCTCAAGAGAATGCCCCCCCGCCACTCCCATCTCTCCCGCTGGGCTCCCAAAGAACCTCACTGTGGAAGCACCTGGGGGCATAGGAAAAGAGCCTACCTGCCTACCTGCCTTGGGGACGAGGGACCAAAGGGGTGGCAGGGGGACTAGACAGCTGAGTGTGCTCCCAGGTCCAGGCCACCACAGGGAGATGGGTAGGGGATCATCGGGCCAGCAGCTCAGGACTTGCCCGGGACAGACCTAGCTGAGGGAGGGGGTTCGGGCCCCACTGAGCTCAGGGTTATTCTTGGAGCCTGAGTCAGTGGCAAATCGAGGCAAAAGATTCTTGCCCTGCCTGTCCAGGCAGCAGTTAGAAAGCAAATGGGAACACTGCCCCAGGCTATCTTCCTCCCAGAATCCAGAATAAACACAATGAAGAGGCTTCCTCAAAGACAGCCCCTGGCCCATGCCAGGGAACGGGCAACCTCCAGAGAACAACTCTACAGGTTCCACAGCGAGGAGCTTTCTACATGAGCCCCCTGAGTTTCCAGGCTGGGACCCCTCCCAGAGCAAAGGCCGGGTCTGCAGTTCCCCTAGACTCCCACGGTCCCTCTTGGGACAGGCCGCCTGAGAAAAGTCCCCCATGTGGCTGAGTGGGAACATCTGGGCTCAGCTCCCAGCAGGCATCAAAGGCTTCCGGCCTCCATGCGGTAGCCCCCACGCTTGCCCCTGGCTGAGGACACATCAGCCTGTGGAAAGGCAAAATGATTCAGGGGATGAAGAACGCGGATGAAGTCCCTGCTCCCAAATGGACTCAATGCCAATGCCAAGAAAGGGACAACGCAGCTCTCAACACTGGACTTTATTGGTGCTAACGTGCAGCACACCCCCTTCTTGTGAGGATATGAGGAGCCAGGCTGGCATGTGTGGTGGGGGGGACCATGCGCCTCGGCCCCGCCCTCTTGCCTGCACAGGCTTCCTGCCTAGAAGCGCAGCCAGAACATGCCACTACGGATCCGGTTGTAGTCTGGGAGCTGCTCGATGGGGCCTGTGGGGAGAGCGTGGGGCATCAGGGTGGGGTGTCTGGCTTGCAGAGGGACACCTGGCCCTGTGCCAGACCCAGCTCAGAGCTGCCCAGAGCAGCACAGGACAGGCTTTGAATGGAAAGAGGGAAAGAACATTCCTCCAGGGGTGCTGAGCCTGTCCCTTCACGTTCTGGCCCTCAGAGCCCCACCCCACACACATAGAGGTGCCCGTTACCAGGCGGGTGTGGAGTACTGATGGAAGCACCTTGGCAAGGAGTCAGGGAGCTGCCGGGACAGATTTACTGAGCAAGAACTCCCTGGCAGCCAGGCTACTGGGGAGAGCCTCTTGGAGGCTTCAATTTGCTGTTCCCAGTGCAGGCTGGGGAGGGTGAGCAGAGGCGGAACGAGAGGCCAAGAGAATAGCCCAAGGAGGACAAAGAGCAGACCCTTTAGGCCACTCACCAAATCCAGCCACTGCTGGACACTGGTCATAGAAGTACTTGGAGCAAACGTCACGTACTACCCTGGCATCCACTTCCTGCATGACAAAACAGAGGGCACGCTGACCCACAGGCACCTGGGGACCACCTCAGCCAGCCAACACCCAGCTGACCAAGATCTACCTACCACCCAGACCAGGGAGCTGCCCAACCCAAACGGGGAAAGGCAGCAGGGCTCTCCCTACTGTAGGGTTCCAGGGCCCCACCCATTCCCAGTCTTCAGCACCTCCACCCCGCCCTCCAACTACGCCCCTCCTGGGGGTGATGGCTGCCTAGGACACCAAGGATGCCTCCAGGAGCAGTCTCTACCTTGTCAGGCCCCAACTTCCCACCCCGCAGGGGCCTGCCAGGCCAAGCCTCCAAAACCTCTCCCAGGGGGCCTGTGTTACCGAAATTCGGCTCTCCCACTCAGACAGGGGAATGCGGCGGCCGTATGTCAGAAGGCTGCGTCCGATGTCCTCACACACAGGGGTGGTGCCTGCGGGGGCAGCAGGCGGCTCAGGGCCTACCCAGTCCAGTGCGGGTGCACACAGAACCCCCAGCCCCAGGCTGAGCCCTGGATCCTGCTCTGACCCCAAATCACCACAACCCTCTCTTCGCACCCACCTGTTATTGAAACAATGGGCTGCTGACCTGGCCCACCCCCATGTGCATCTGAGGTCAAGCTTTGCGGGGTGGGGCGTGGGGAGGGTCAGTGTTTTCCTTTCCAACCTTGGTTAGGATGTGGCCATACTGGGGCTGTCAGCGCCAGCATACCCCTCCCACCTGCCCCGTAAGACTACAGAGCTCACCATCCAGATGAGATACCAGCGCATTTCTGAGGATGTTCTTGCCCCGTGCCACCTCACTCTCTGTGGCACTGGTACATAGGCGCATCCTAAAGGCGGGGGCGGGGGGTGAATTCTGAGAGACTGTGCGTGTCTCTTAGCCTCCCTCAACCCTGCTCACAGGCCCCCATCCCACAGTCCTGGGCTGGCACTCACCATTGGCCTTGCAGGAAGAACATCATATCATCAATGGTCATGCGGTCGCAGACAAAGTGCGCACCCAGCAGCCCCGTTTCTGCGTAGCAGATGTTGAAGGTCTGGAAGCTCTGGCACAGCTTGTTGGCCGCAGCAACTGAAGCCAGTGGGCTGGACAGGTGCTGCCAGGGGGCAAAGGTGATCAGCAGCCACCTCCTGTCTGCGGCCCACAACCTCGGCCCCACTGCACAGGAGCTCAGCACGCTCTCCTCTCTGAAGGCAAGGGCCCAGGCTCACCCCAACACTCACCTTGCCGCCACCATAGGTGCAATCATAGTGGCCGATGATGGCATTGGCCACTTGGAGGGCCACGTTGTCCGGGTTGGCCCAGCCAGGCCCCTCCACTGCAATGGCCACATGGGCCAGGGGCAGGGCATCATCGCGGTGGCGGATCTGAAACAATGTATGGTGAGGCTGGGGGACAGTCACACTGCCCAGGTGACCACACTAGTCTGGGTGGAGCATGTGCAAGCATGTGTGAACATGCATGTTTTCGAGGCAGTGGCCACAAGGCCCCTTCCCAACTCCTGAGGCACCTCTGGAGGTCACGTGGATAACCATGCACACTAGGGTCCTCCCAGAGGCCCCCGGCTGAGAGCACTACCCCACCCATCAGACACCACACCTCACTGCCAGTGAAGCGGCACGGCTCAACAGTGGGCACGGTGTCCTCCGCGTACGTCCCAGAAACACTGCTGAAGTGCTTCTGGGCAAGGTCAAGCAGCTGACGGTGCTCCACCCCTGCCGAGACAGAGAGTGGTGTTACTGGTCGGCCAGGGTCCATGGAACAGGCAGAGGACCCTCGTGTCCTGTCTCAGTGAGAGACACCAAAAGGAAGACAGGACATCAGGACAGATCGAGGGAAGAGGATTCTCCACCAACACACCCTGCCCTGTGGGCAAGGCAGGCACCTCTGGGCTGAACAGCTCTCCTTGCCTTAGCCACAGGAGAGAAGCAGTGTGGTGAGCTTCAACAACAGGTTCCCAGCTGACACAGTGCTGATTCTCACCCTAGAAGAGGCATCTCATCTCCATCAAGGGTGAGACGGTGCTCCCTTGGCACAAGGCCACCTGCCCTGTCCTGTCCCTCCAGCCCTTCCCAAGTAGGTCCTGGCTGCTGCCCGTGGGGGTGGGGGGTAGTGAGTGCAAGGGCACAAAGAGGTGCCACTGCAGGGCTGTGATTAGCTCTGGGGTCCCCTGAGAGCTGGGGACTTAACAAATCACATTACAAACCCACATCCTCAGGACCCCTTGCAGGACCTCACCTCCACAAGAGGCGGCCTCTGCTGCCCCAGCACCCTGACTGGGGAACACTGGGGCAGCAGGCAGCTGGCCCCGGAGCAACAGCCTGCCAGCTGTCTCGGCCTTCTAGTTTCACCTGCCAAGCTCAGGCCCTGCTCTGACTCAATAAAGTCTGACACGTCAGTAGCTCAAACTGCTCTCAGTTGCCAGGTTCCCCAGCTCCAAGGCCCGCAGTCATGCTCTTCCTATCAGTCTTTTTCACCCACCCAGCCGCCAAGGCCATAAACAAGGAAGCATCCTTGACCCTGCTCCCTCCGCCCCCCACCATGTCCAGACCCCTGTCAAGTTTCCATCTATAAAACCATCTTGAGTGCATCCACTTCTCTCCCTTGCTCCTGCTGTCCCCCACCGGGTATCTGTCCCAGCCCTTCCTTGGTCTGCCTGCCTCCACTCTGGTCCCCACATGGCAGCAGAGCAAACCTTAAAGGACACATCAGACCATAGCACTGCCCCTCCCCTCTGCGTAGGTCCCTCATGCCCCAGCTAACTAACACACCATCCTTTAGGCCTCTGTTCAAACATGCTTCAACCCAACCTCTGATTCTAAGTGAGTCCCCTTTCAGGGCACTTCCCAGCTTGTTATCAAGTGTGCATCATCACAGATCCAATGTCTGGCTCACCCACTGGCAAGGCCATGAGGAACAAGCCTAGGGGCTTGTCTCCCTTAGCCCACATACAGGGTATAGTCTCTCCTGGGACCAGGCAGGGCTGGAAAGGTCCTGAGGCCCAGGGAGGGGCCAGCGGCCCAAGTGAGGCCAGTGCTAAAGAGGCTGGTCCCAGTGGGGGTGGCAGAAGAGAACCCTACCATGCCTCGGAGAACGTGGGAGAGGTGTTCCCCTCATGGGCAGGGTGGAAACGAGGTCCCCAGGAGCGGAAGGGGGTTAAAACCAGGAGCCCTGGGCCCTGATAACCAAGACCTGTGCCCACCCGCCCATTACCACAGGGCTTTACCTCCAGCTGCTGCCAGCACCATTCGAGGGGCCTTGTAATGCCTGCTGAGGTACTCTGTCAGGTCTGCACGCGACAGCTTCCTGTAAGACATATGCCAGCGGGTCGACATTTCTCTCAAACCAGAGCAAGTTGGGTCGCACAAAATGGGTTGAGGAGCAGATGAGAAGAGGCATGGCTTCTCTGGAGAGCAGGCCATACCCTGGCACACTCTTCAATCCCCTCCCCCCATCTCTGCTACCCACTTCTCCAGGGCCCAGAGGGCAACCCTCACCTAGCCCTGCCTCACACCCGACCTCAGGACAGGCTCACAGTCCTCTCAGGAGGACTCACAGTCCACCGACTGCCAGGGGACAAGAAGCCATATGAGTAGGATACCCAGACCCCCCCTTTCTTAGGTTGTCAGAACACGTACGGAAACATATCCTACAATAAACCTGAAACTTGAGGGAAGACCACACACCCATTGAAAGACTCACAAAGACCACACAACAACATAGAAAAAGTCTCTAATAATGCGAATTAGCCAAATAGACAGTACAAGCCAGCCAACATACACAAACTCACATAGACATACATGGCCTGGAAGGGATCTGGCCCAGGCCTACATGAAGGGACACATTCACCACAGGCCCAGCTGACCCTCACCTGACGTTCTCACTGGGACCCTCCACAGCTTGGGCCAGGGGCGTGCCCTGGAACGCAGTGGCATGCAAGTAGTCAAAGACCACATCCCGCTGGGACGCATCGTTCTCCTGCAGCTCCCGCAGGATCACGTCACGCTCCTTCTCGATCTGCGAGTCTTCCAGGCTACAGTTCTGCACGATGTCAGCCAGCAGCTCCACAGCTAGACACAACAGGGACATGTCTGGGGTGCCAGGTGGGCCAGGGGAAGGCCCTGGAGACCAGTGACAGCACAAAACTCCCAGCCTGGCACCTCTTGCACTGACAGGCCATACCCTACAGGTAACTTGACTCCGCGGCCAGGCCAGGGGCTCTGGGGAGCCTATCCTCCGCTCTGCTGGAGTCCTTCCCCTCCCTGCCCCCACCCCAGTCTCCAGGCTGTTACCTTTCGGCAGGTCCTTGGACAGCGCCTTGATGTAGTAAGCTGTGTGCTCCCGAGTGCTGTAGGCATTAAGGTGGGCCCCCATGCTCTCCACCTCCTTCTCCAGAGCACTGCCAGGGCGATTCTTTGTTCCCTGCAACCAGACATCAACGGGACCAATCAAGAGCTATGTACGAGCCCACCCTGTCCTCACAGGATAAGGTCCCAAAAGGACCACTGATCCACAGTTACCTCCCTCAGCCACAAGAGCTCTGGGGGTGTGAGGCCCAGAGTCTGTGCTCACCAAGTGCTAAGGTGGCTGACTGAGGCTGAGGCATCATGGGCCAACAGGATGGACACAGCTAGGGGCCAGGACAAAAGGCCATGGTGAGAGTAGGTGTTGCCAGAAGTCCAGTGTTCCCCTAACAGTCTGGCTATGCCAGGTGCCCCTCCCCTTACTGACAACCATGGTCAGGTAAGCTGATTCTACCCACCACCCCTGTCATTCACATGGCTCTGTGTGTATGCGCTAGTGGCCACCTCTGTGGGACTCAATCACAGCCCCATGTCAGGGTGTGCGGCAGGGTGGCTTTGTCTCATGACACATCTTAAGATTGATACTCACACCTGTGATCCTGCAGCTGGTTGGGTAGAATGCTCCTGCCCTATACCCTCGCAACCCTAACCCATACCTCCTTCCTCCATCCTTTTCATTCGTTTAAAATACTCAGTCTCTACTCTGTGCCAGCATGGGCTGGCTGAGATACTAGAGTGGTGACAGTCATCACCTTCAAGAAAGCTCAGTGCTCACTTCTATCACCAAGAGACGGCCAGGGAGCAAGACATTTCACAAGCACACATGTCACACACAGGCCTGGCCTCTCTTGTGAAATGTGAGGCTTCTGTGGCTCCCTGGGTCTCTCTGGGCTGTGGGGCCTGGTGCTGGGGCTCACCAGAAAGGTACTCATGAGAGGCTGAGCCTGTGTGACTCCTTCCAGAAAGGCCAGTAAGAGTTCTCTCTCCCCAGCTGAGATTCATAATTGAGGGGCTGACTTTTCTGGCCTGCACCCTCAAGAGGAACAACAGGCAATCCCAAGCCCAAGGAAGACACAGAGCTTCTAAAGTCTCACCTTGAACGCCAGATGCTCCACAAAGTAGCCTGCCCCATTGTTCTTCTCAGTCTCGTACCGGCTGCCAGCATCAATCCACACTCCCACCTAGACAAGAAGCCACCAACAAAGGTAACAAACCAACCAACCCAGCTTCCACTTACGCCTCAGCCTGACTACCTCAACACAAGCCCCAGGTAGGGGCTCATGGGTTCCAGATCATGGGTCCCAGAGTTGGGGTAGGGAGGGCTGCTCAGGCAGGACCTCTGAGCTCAGAGGGGCAGCAGCGCCCTGGGCACTGGGCACCAGCTGAGTGACTGGTCACATGGCATCACCTCTCCCTCCTGCCCTGACTATTTACTGAGGACATCCAGGGAAGTCTCTAACTTTGCATGCTCTCCTGGTCCCACCACCATACAAAATTCTTAGATTCAGCCTCCTTTCAGTTGATTCTTTGGGCTTTTCTTGGTATGCAACACATCATTTGTACAAAAAAAAATTTTATTTTTCTCCGTTCCAAAACTTAGACCCTGCCTTTATTTTGGTTTTTATCCTTTATCATTAAGAAAACACCAAAAAATCAAACCCGTTGCCATCAAGTTGATTGACTTATAAGAAAAGAGACTACTAATTTAGATGCTGTACATTTTGTCACATCCCATTCACATTTTTTTTTTTTTAAGTTTTTAATCAGATCTGAACACCGAATATTGCCAAATGTCTACTTGGCACACAGTGAGATTCTTGTGACCCACATGATCACAATGATCTAGCCTTTTAATTTACTCTTTGTTCATAGTTAATTTCCCCCACACGTCCGTCAGTATGTTGCACTGTGGGGGCTTGCATGTTGCTGTGATGGTGGAAGCTATGCCACTGGCATTCAAATACCAGCAGGGTCACCCATGGTGGACAAGTTTCAGCTGAGCTTCCAGACTAAGACAGACTAGGAAGAAGGACCTGGCGGTCTACTTCTGAAAAAAATTAGCCAGTGAAAACCTTACGAATAGCAGCGGAACACTGTCTGATACAGTGCTGGAAGATGAGCCCCTCACACTGGAAGCACTCAAAAGACAACTGGGGAAGAGTCGCCTCCTCAAAGTAGAGTCGACCTTAATGATGTGGATGGAGTCAAACTTTCAAGACCTTCATTTGCTAATCTGGGACGACTCAAAATGAGAAGAAACAGCTGCAAATATCCATTAATAGGAATGTGGAATGTATGAAGTATGAATCTAGGAAAACTGGAAATCATCTAAAATGAAATGGAACACATAAACATTGACATCCTAGGCGTTAGTGAGCTGAAATGGACTGGTATTGGCCTTCTGAATCAGACAATCATATGGTCTATGTGAAGAAGAGGATGTGGAATGAGGGATATCACTGCTGATGTCAGATGGATCTTGGCTGAAAGCAGAGAATACCACAAAGATGTGTACCTGTGTTTCATTGACTATGCAAAGGCATTCAACTGTGTGGATCATAACAAATTATGGATAACACTGCAAAGAATGGGAATTCCAGAACACTTAATTGTACTCATGAGGAACCTGTACTATGTTGGGAATGACGAAGAGGAATGGTGTTGCATTCATGATCAAAAAGAACATTTCAAGATCTATCCTGAAGTACAACGCTGTCAGTGATAGGATAATATTCACATGCCTACAAGGAAGACCAGTTACTATGACTATTATTCTAATATACGCACCAACCACTAAGGCCAAAGATGAAGAAATTGATGATTTTTACCAACTTCTGCAGTCTGAAATTGACCAAACATGCAATCAGGATGCACTGATAATTACTGGCGATTGGAATGTGAAAGCTGGAAACAAAGGAGGAGGATCAGTAGTTGGAAGATATGGCCTTGGTGACAGAAACAATGCTAGAAATCACATGATAGAATTTTGCAAGACCTATGACTTCTTCATTGCAAATACCTTTTTTTGACAACATAAACGGTGACTATACATGTAGACCTCACCACATGGAATACCCAGGAATCAAACTGACTACATCTGTGGAAAGAGACGATGGAAAAACTCAATATCATCAGCTAGAACAAGGCCAGGGGCTGACTGTGGAACAGACCATCAATTGCTCATATGCAATTTCAAGTTGAAGCTGAAAGAAAATTAGAAGTCCACAAGAGCCAAAGTATGACCTTGAGTACATCCCACCTGAATTTGGAGACCATCTCAAGAATACATTTGACACATGGAACACTAATGATAGAAGACCAGATGAGTTGTGAAATGACATCAAGGACATCATACATGAAACAAGCAAGAGGTCATTAAAAAGACAGGAAAGAAAGAAAAGACCAAAATGGGTGTCAGAAGAGACTCTGAAACTTGCTCTTGAACATCGGGTAGCTAAAGCAAAAGAAATGATGAAGTAAAAGGGCTGAAGAGAAGGTTTCAAAGGGTGGCTCGAGCAGACAAAGTAAAGTATTATAATGAGATGTGCAAAGCCCTGGAGTTAGAAAACCAAAAAGGAAAAACACACCCAGCATTTCTCAAGCTGAAAGAACTGAAGAAAAAAATTCAAGCCTTGAGTTGTAATATTGAAGGACTCTACGGGGAAAATATTAGATGCAGGTAGCATCAAAAGAAGATAAGGAATACACAGACTCACTATACCAAAAAGAACCGGTCGACGTTCAACCATTTGAGAAAGTAGCATATGAGCAGGAACCGATGGTACGGAAGGAAGACGTCCAAGCTGCAGTGAAGGCACTGGGGAAAAACAAGGCTCCAGGAATTGACGGAACACCAATTGAGATATTTCAACAAATGGATGCAGAGCTGGAAGTGCTCATTTGTCTATGCCAAGAAGTTTGGAAGACAGCTACCTGGCCAACTGACAGGAAGAGATCCACATTTGTGCCTATTCCAAAGAAAGGTGATCCAACCAAATGTGGAAATTATCAAACAATAACATGAATATCACATGCAGGTAAAATTTTGCTGAAGATCATTCACAAGCAGCTGCAGCAGTATATCGAGAGGGAACTGCCAGAAATTCAAGCCGATTCAGAAGAGGATGTGGAATGAGGGATATCACTGCTGATGTCAGATGGATCTTGGCTGAAAGCAGAGAATACCACAAAGATGTGTACCTGTGTTTCATTGACTATGCAAAGGCATTCAACTGTGTGGATCATAACAAATTATGGATAACACTGCAAAGAATGGGAATTCCAGAACACTTAATTGTACTCATGAGGAACCTGTACATAGATCAAGAGGCAGTCATTCGAACAGAACAAGGGATACTGCATGGTTTAAAGTCAGGAAAGGTTGCATCAGGGTTGTGTCCTTTCACCATACTTATTCAATCTGTATGCTGAGCAAATAATCCAAGAAGCTGGACTATATGAAGAAGAACAGAGCATCAGGACTGGAGAAAGATTCATTAACACCCTGAGTTATGCAGATGACACAACCTTGCTTGCTGAAAGTGAAGAGGACTTGGAAGCACTTACTGACAAAGATCAAAGACTACAGCCTTCAGTACAGATTACACCTCAACATAAAGATAACAAAAATGTTCACAACTGGACATTATGATAAATAAAAAGCAACATTACAATAAATGGAGAAAAGATCGACGTTGTCAATGATTTCATTTTACTCGGTTCCACAATCAACACCCATGGAAGGAGCAGTCAAGAAATCAAAAGACACATTGCAATGGGCAAATCTGCTGCAAAAGACCTCTTGAAAGTGTTAAAAAACAAAGATGCCACCTTGAAGACTAAGGTTTGCCCGACCCAAGCCATGGTGTTTTCAATTGCCTCATATGCATGTGAAAGCTGAACAATGAATAAGGGAGACCTAAGAAGAACTGATGCCTTTGAATTATGGTGTTGGTGAACAATATTGAACATACCATGGACTGCCAGAAGAACAAACAAATCTGTCTTGGAGGAAATACAGCCAGAATGCTCCTCAAAAGGATGGCAAGACTATGTCTCACATACTTTGGACATGTTATCAAGAGGGACCAATCCCTGGAGAAGGACATCATGGTTGGTAAAGGGTCACTGAAAAAGAGGAAGACCCTCAACAAGATGGACTGACAGAGTGGCTGCAACAATGGGCTCAGGCATACCAAGGATTGTGAGGATGGAGAAGGACCAGGCAGTGTTTTGTTCTGCTATACACAGGGTCGCTATGAGTCGGACTGACTCAGTGGCACCTAACAACACAGCTGATTTAAGTTTTTCACATCTACTTTCCTAAGAGATATTGCTACACAAATCTTATGTCATAAATTCTTAGATGTACATTTACTTCACACCTAACATCTTGGAGAGAAAGATGCATTTTACAACCTATGGTATCCTTTGACTATAATTAGCAGCCTTGTTTCTTTGGCACTGGAGCACAATGGTATAATATAGAGCATCTTAGGTTCCATGAGATGTAGCATTCTCTACTGAGTCTTCTTACCAGGCTTTGGATTGGTTTATGACGGTGCCATATAACAAGGAAGTTGTCTACCATCTTGTCCTATAGTTCAGTAACTTACATTGCAGCACATTATTTGTTCCTAGAAAACTGAAAGACTTTGCCAATGAAGCCACCTGACCCTGAAGCTTCTTGAGACCAGGATTAATTCTTGGGGAACTTCTCATCTATTCAAGTATCTATTCAAGATTTCTATCCTTGAATCAATTTTAAGAATTTGTATTTTTTGGAAAATCATCCATTTCACTGGAATCTCCAAATGCATTTCTTCAGCAAGCTCCTGATCTAGCCTGGAGCTTATGACCTCGGGCTGTGAAGTTGAGAGACCTGGACCCCTGAAAGTCATTTAACTTTTCTCATCCCCATTTTCCCTATTGTAAAATAGAAACACGACCATCGTGACGAAAAAGCTGGAAAAGAACTTGGTCTCCTGGTTGGCAGGCATCATATGTTAAATGAACGGTGGTTCTTAGAATTGCCCCCAAGAAGTTAAGGGATGGCTGGGTTCGGGATTCGGTTGTAAGAGGCGATCCAGCGGTGAGAAAGCCAGAGTCTGAATCAAAACCACAGACGGGAGAACGCCAGTCAAAGAGGAGTCCGAGGACCCCTCCCAGATAGTGCCCCCCACTCACCGTGCAGGTGGGCTGGGTAGACTGCTCCGAAGCCACGCGCAGCCCGTTGTCCAGCAGGCTGACCTGCGTCTCAGGCACGTTCTGGAGCGCCTGGGCGAAGGTGGCCGTGCCCCGTAGGGCAGGCGCCCTCAGCAGGGCCGGCTGTGGAAAGAGGGCGGTCGCGAGTGAAGGCCGAGTCTAGGGTAAGCTCCCCAGAGGAACTCCCAGACAGGCATCTCCCGCAACAGGGCCCTCGTCCCGTCACCAGGCCTGCCGCGAAACCCCCGTCCACGCCCTCGGCGGTGACCTTCTCGTGGCCTGACCCCGCGACCTCTCCACCTCGATCTGCCGCCGCTAACCGCAGATCCCCGTCCGTGTTTTGAAACCCCGCGCCCCGCATCCCCGTGTCCTGCATCCTCGCGCTCTGGCCACAGCCTCACCGAGCCACGGGCGTGCAACAGGGCCCGCGCACCGGCGCCAGCCGCCCGGCAGACCGCGGACGCTGCCATCTTCTTGCTCACGTCAGGGCCGAGCCGCGCCGCGCGTGCGCGGAGCAGGAACAGAGGCGTCCGAAGCGCAGGCGCAGTTCCGCTGATACGGCGCTCGACTGGCCTCTGGCGGAAGCTGTGGGTATCCACCCGCGACTGTTCTGCTGGTCCGTCAGCGAGTCGGGTCCCTGTATGAGTTAGTCCACCCCCCTGTACATCGACCGCCGCGGGCCCGCCCGCGGTCCAACTCCTCTCATCTGTGGGAGGCAGAGTGCGAGATGTTTCTCACGAACCGCGGCCTCCCGGATTGTTTGCGTGGCCGGAGCGGGCGAGATAGGCCGGCGTCGCAGCCACAGAGTGCCCGCGGGTCCGAGTCCGGGGTCTAAAGTACCGGCGGGAGTCCTGGAGCTGTTAGGCAGCCGCTGAAAGTCACGGTTTTCTCTTTAAAAGAAAGAAGTAGATTCAGACGGTCGACATGGAAGTTTATTAGTATATTGCTAATTTTTGCAAAAAAATGTGTTATTTTTGAAGTGGCAAGGAATACCTCTGAATTCTATTTCTTTTTACAGGTACTGTATATGTAATTTTAATCTATTTTGGGGATCTCCCAAAAAAGATGGACAAAAGATGCATGTGTTGATTAATAGTTTGTGAACTTAAATTATGTTATGATTTTGACATGAAAAATAAAGTGGGGTAGAGAAAACCATTTAAGCGGTCCATCTTTCCTTTTTTTTTAACTTTATTTTTCACAATAGTTTTAGATTAACAGAAAATTGAGTAGATAGCTCAGAGAGTCCCCCCCCCCCACAGCTTTCCCTATGATTAACCATCTTATATTAGCATAGGTCCCTGGGGGGCGCAAACTTAAACGTTGGCGATTCAAACCCACCTAGTGGTGCCAGGGAAGAAAGCCCTGGCGATCTGCTTCTGTAAAGATTAAGCAAAAAAAAAAAAAAAAAGCCAAACCCATTGCTATTAAGTGGATTCCAACTCATGGTGATCCTATAGGACAGAGTAGAACTTCCCCATAGGGTTTACAAGGCTATGTATGATCTTTGCGGAAACAAGCCAGCTGCCACATCTTTCTCCCTGTAAAGATTACAGCCAAGAAAACTTTATGGAGCATTTCTACTCTGTGACACATGGGGTCGCCATGAACCGGAATTGACTCACTGGCAGTGGGTTTATATCAGTATGGCACATTTGTGACAATTAATGAACCTGTACTGATACATTATTTTTAAATAAAGTCCATAGCTTATTCAGATTTCCTTAGTTTTTATTTAACGTGTTTTTTCTGTTCCAGGATCCTATCCAGAATAACATACTACATTTCATTGTCAAGTCTCCTTAGATGCATCTTGGCTGTGACACGTGTTTTTAACACAATTATTCGTTGCTTGAGGAGTCCTTGTGACGCAGTGGTTAAAGTGTTTGGCCACTAACCAAAAGGTCTCTGGTTGGAACCCACCAGCTGCTGAGAAAAGATGTGGTAGTCTGCTTACATAAAACCCTATGGGGCAGTTGTACTCTGCCTATAGGGTTGCTAAGAGTCAGAATCGACTCCATGGTAGTGGGTTTGGTGGGGTTTTTTCATTCATCACTTTAAAGGAACAGACATTTGGATGTGTTCATTTACTTTGTAAGGGGATCAAGTGCATGCCTTGAACGAGACAGAATGGAAAACGTTCAAGTGTCAAACAAAATAAATGTCTTGGAGTGTAGCATGTGGAATATCATAGTAGTGATAAGAGCTTTCCAGAAATATGAAAATAGAGCTGCTCTATCTAGATCCCAATGGGAGAGAAATGTCTGAAATGGTGAACACCAGACTTCTGAAAGGCACATGAAACCTCCAAGTCCAGAGGGGCGAGCATCCCTCCAAGGAGTGGAATACTGTGACCCTGATTCCATGAAAATGGATCATTAACAAATTAATCTTGGCTGTGGGGCAAATTGACTTTTAGGTGAAACTTCTTCAGGGAGAATTATTTTTGCCTGCTACTTCTCCCCTCCCTTGGAGACGTTTTTGATTTTTCACTGTGGTGCAAATATGTATAACAAAACATACACCATCTCAGCAATTGCTACATATACAATTCAGTGACATCGATTATATTATTCAAGTTGCAACCATTCTCTGTCTGCTACTTCTTTATTAGAAAGTCCCTTTTTCAAATGTTCAGAACAACATTTTTTCATTAGTTCAGTTTAATTTTTTTCATACTTATGCTTCATTTTTTTAAAATAATATTTTGTTGTTTTCTGTGAAAGTTTACACAACAAAATTAGGTTCCCATTTGACAATTTCTATACAAACTGTTTAGTGACATCAGTTACATTTTTCATGATGTGTCACCATTCTCTTTAATTGCGTTCTGGTTGTTCCTTTTCCAGTACTCTAGTTTCCCTACCTTCTTATCCTCTCATCTTTGCTTTAGAGTAATTGTTGACCTTTTGGTCTCATATGGATGGTTTTTTAATGGAGCACCGTACTCACGAGTAATGTCCTTTATTTTGTGTGCCAATCTGTTGTTTCACTAAAAGGTGACTTCAGAGGACAGTTTCAGTTCAAGGTTTAAAGACTGTCTCAGGGCAATAGTCTCAGGGAATCCTCTAGCCTCAACTGGTCCAGTAAGTCTTGGCTTTTTAAGAATTTGAGTTCTGTTCCGTGTTTTTCTCCTGTTCTATCAGGATCCATCTATTGTGGCCCTGATCAGAATGGTCAGTAGTGGGAAATGGGCACCATCTAGGTCTTCTGGTCTCGGGGTAGATGAGACCATGGCTCGTGTAGGCTATTAGTCCTATAGACTAGTTTCTTCTCTGAGACTTTGGTTTCCTTCTTTCTCTTTTGCTCCTGATGAGTGGAGACGAGTAGTTGTATCGTAGATGGCTGCTTGTCAGCTTTTAAGACCCATACACTAGGATGCATAACATGCCCCTTGTGAACTATATTGACAGTTCTCCCATGAGACTAAGGTCCTAAACCTTCAAATCCAGAAAACCTATCTCACAAGGTATTTGGTTATGTCTGAGAAGTATCTGTAAATGTGTCTTCTATGAATATATATGTGTACCCACATATCTGTATGTACATGTATCTATAGATACTTCTATCTGTGCATACATATGTATACACTTGTACCTACCCGAAGGAGCCCTGGTGGCACAGTGGTTAAGTGCTCAACTGCTAACCAAAAGGTTGGTGGTTCGAACCCACCAGCCAGTCCACAGGAGAAAGATATGGTAGTCAGTTTCCATAAAGATTTACAGACTCGGCAGCCCTATGGGGCAATTGTACCCTGCCCTACAGGGTCGTTATAAGTCGGAATCAACTCAACGACAGTGGGTTTGGTTGGACTGGGTACCTGCTCGTACACCCGTATGCCTATACGCATACATTTTTTGGTTATTCTTGGTGTCTCTTCATTCATTCTCACAGCAATTACTTACTGAGCACATGCTGTGCTCTCAGCCTGTTCTAGGCACCAGGGATCCAGGGAGCCACAGGAAGGAACAAGTGAAGGATACACATATAACAATGTTTCAGATAGTGAGAGGGCTCTGAGGAAAAATACAGTGGTGTAAGCAAGAGAGGATCAGGGACCTCTCTGAGAAGGGGATGTTTGAGCCAAGACTTGATTGATGAGGGTCACATGAATATATGAGGAAAAACAGTCCAGGCAGAGGGAAGAGCAAGTGCAAAAGCCCTGAGGTGGGAAGAAGCTTGATGTTTTCAAGATAGAAGAGGGACTCGTGTGGCTGGTGCACAGCGAGCAGCAGGGATGGATGGGCAGTGATGGATGTAGCCAGACAGGCAATCAGGGCCTGCATCCTCGGGACTTCATAGACCATGGTCTGAGGCTGGGCTTCATCCCACAGGCAGTGGGGGGACTATTGGGGCTTTTAAGTGGGGGAGTGATGGGCTCTGATTTATGTTTTAAATCAATCACTCTAGGGTAGAAAAGCTTGATAACATCAACGACATGAAAATGAAAAATGTCTGTGAGGAAAAACACCAGTTAAATACATTTAAATACACTGGGAAAAATATTTGTAAATCATATCACAAAGGACCTCTTTCCCTAATATATTAGGAACTCTTACAAACCCATAATAAAGGGCTTCAATAAAGAAAAATCTAAACACATGACAAACAGTTCACCGACAAGGAAATTTGAATAGCTCCTAAATATTTGAAAATGTGCTCAGTCTCACCCCCAATAAGAGAAATGGAAATTAAAACTCACTGAGCAAATGAGGATAACCAGATGGCCAATAAACACATGAAAAGGCACACAACAGCATTAGTCATCAGGGAGATAGATGCAAATCAAACCACAGTGAGATACCAGTGCATGCCCACCACAAGGACTAAAGGTACAAAGACTAGCCATACCAAGTTTTAGCCAGGACAAGGAACAACTGGAACTCTCGTTCACTTCTGGTTGGAAGTAAATGGTACAAGCACTTTGGAAAAACTTTCTGGCGGAATCTGCTAAAACTGAACATATATACAAACAAAGCACAGGTCTACTCACAGGTATACACCTTAGAAAAACGTGTGAACCCTGGCACCAAAAGCCTTGTGAAAAAATGTTCCTAGTAGCTTTATTTGTAACAATCCCAAACTGGACGTAACCCAAGCGTTCACCAACAGGAGAGTGGAACCATACATTTTGTTGGATTCATACAGTGAAAAACATCCTGTACTGAGCATGAAAGCACTACTGCTGCACGCAGCAACCTGGATGTTGCTCAGAAACGTGATGGTGGGTGAGGGGAGCCAGGGACGGAATCGCTCAAACTATACGATTCCATTTCTATAGAATTCAAAAACAGGCAAAGCTAACTTATGGAAAGACAAATTACAGAGGAGCAAACATAAGAATTACAGCAGACTTCTCATCAGAAACTCCGCAACCCAGAAGATGATGGACAGACATCTTCAAAGTGCTGAAAGAAAACTCACCTACGGTGATGATAGGAGTGAAGATCCGCGTTTGTCTTTGGGGAGAAGAGAGTCATGACTGGGAGGGGTATGAGCTGGGGAGGGGAGGGGCTTCTTGACTCAGTTGTCATCCAGGTGTGTTCACTTTGTGGAAACTCGAGCTACAGGTTTATGAGATGGGCACTGAGCTTCCCACTAGCTATAGAACCTTGGCAAAATTCTTTGACTACTCTGTATTTCAGTTCACTCATCTCCAAAATTATACCCCATGTAGCTGTGAGGCATTAAATCATTATATAAAGAACAGAACCTAGCATACAGTAACTGTTAGCTAACTAAGAGCAATAAAACCAAACCCATTGCCATTAAGTCGATTCTGACTCATAGTGACCCTGTGGGACAGAGTAAAACTGCCCCATAGGGTTTCCAAGGAGCGAATGGTGGATCCGAATGCTGACCTTTTTGGTTAGCAGTCAAGCTCTTAACCACTGCACCACCAGGGCTCCATCAGCAATAATAATAATTATTATTGTTACATCATGTTAAATGAAAAAAGATGCATGAGTATATATAGTAAGCGCCATGTGTGGACAAAACGGGGGTGAAAATAAATATACTTGTTTGCTTACATCTGCCAGGCCCTCCTGGGATGCCAGCTACCTTTGGGGTGGGCACCTGGGTCCTGGCACCCTGTAGCCCACCCTGCTTAATCATCCAAAGCCTGTGCTCCTGCAGAATTTACAGCAAAAGCTGTGAACATTCCATTATTAAAACACTCTCGCTTGGCCCCACACCTCTCCCATTGACCACCTAATTCTAGCTTCCTTCTAGCCAAACTCCCCCAAAGAGTTGACCATGCTCACTGCCTTTAATCCCTCTCCTCCTATCCTCTCTTAAAACCCCTCAGGTCCAGCACTCCCTCCACTCCACTGCCTGTCAGTTGAGAGCCATTCCCAGCTTCTAGAGGCTACCTGAATTCCTTGGCTTATGGCCTCCTTCCGTCATCTTCGAAGCCAGCAATGGAGGGTGGAGTTCATCTCACACTTCCAATCTCTCCAGCCAACTCTTTTACCTTCCTCTTCCATTTTTAAGGGCTCATATGATTACACTGGGCTCACCCAAATAATCCAGGATAATCTCTGTATTTTACGGTCCTTAACCTTAATTCCATCTGCAAAGTTCCTTTTGTCACATAATGTAACATATTCACAGGTTCCAGGGATTAGGACACAGACATCTTTGGGGGTTTTGCCTACCACACCTGTCATGGATTGAATTGTGTCCCCCCAGAATATGTGTCAACTTGGTTAGGCCATGATTCCCAGTATTGTGTGGTTGCCCTCCATTTTGTGATTGAAATTTTATGTTAAAGAGGATTAGGATGGGATTGTAACACCCTTACTAAAGTCACATCCCGGATCCAATGTAAAGGGAGTTTCCCCGGAGTGTGGCCTGCACCACTTTTATCTTACAAGAGATAAAAGGAAAGGGAAGCAAGCAGAGAGGGGGACCTCATACCACCAAGAAAGCAGTGCCAGGAGCAGAGCACATCCTTTGGACTCGGGGTTCCTGCGCAGAGAAGCTCCTAGTCTAGGGGAAGATTGACAAGAAGGACCTTCCTCCAGAGCTGACGCCCTGAATTTGGACTTGTAGCCTACTAGACTGTGAGAGAATAAATTTCTTTTTGTTTAAGCCATCCGCTTGTGGCATTTCTGTTTTAGCAGCACTAGATGACTAAGACAACACCCTTGTCAGGAGTCACCCAACTCTTGCCTCTCCCCAGCACACTCCTTTCTGCCCTCTAGAGCCCTTTTTCCCTCCTGAAGTTCTGAGCACCTTACAGTTCCTGGAACAGGTCAAGGTCTGCCCTCCCACCAGGCCCTAACACGTGCCTATCTTTCTGACTGGACACCCTCCCCCCTCCTCTAGTCACCCATTCAACCCTACAGGTCCCAGCAGTCAGCCCAGCCCTGCCCCACCCTAGCTGGGCCAGCATGCCTCTGCAGAGTAATTGCATTTTTGAGTCTGTTTCACCACCTTCACCCTCCTGTCACAGGCATCTGAGTGGATAAAGAAGGAGCTAAGTCTGTCTGTACATCGGTGGACTCTGGCTTTCACAACAGTGCTGGCAAACAGTAGGCGCTCAATAAACCTTGTAGAATGAGAATGCAGAACAGAGGCTGATGAAGCTTGACCTTCAGTGCCCTTCTCTCCCAGGCCTTGGGAGGGGCCTGGGCACTGTGTCCACTGGGTCAAATGTTTTTGAAAATCTGCAAAATTAAGATATCTTGACTGCATTCAGTTAGGACCTTTGCCCTTTTCCACTCAGACTCTCTCCCACTTCCCTTTATTTGGGGGACATCAGAGAGGTTGTGGCACTTTCGGAACCCAGTCAAGAGGAAGATGGGTTGGGGACTGTCCCAGGCTGGGTCTCTGGGAAGCAGACCGTGAGAGGGTGATCAGAGTGCAGAATGCTTGCCAGGAAGTCCCTTGTGGTCAGCCCCTGAGGGAGGGAAGGAAGAAGGGAGGAAGGAAAGAGTTGGGCAAAGGGAGAAGACTAGTTTCAAGAGGGCTCTCTCCAGCTGAGGCAGACCTTTCTGCTCGCCATTTGCCCAGAGGCTGGCAGCAGCTGGCCTTCCTTGAAGGGGGACCTGGCGGCACATCTCCATGTCTACCACAGGGACACACTTGGATTAAGTTTAAAACCAAAAAACCAAACCGGTGGCCGTCAAGCTGATGTCATGGTGACCCCGTGTGTGTCAGAGTAAAACTGTGCTCCACAGCGTTTTCATGGCCAAGCCTTTCTTCTGAGGTGGCTCTGGGTGGGTTCAAACGGCCAATCTTTGAGTTAACAGCCGAGCACTTAACTGTTTGTGCCACCCAAGGACTCCTGGTTTCAGTTTAGAGGGGCATACTTATAATGGTTTGCTCTACTCCTGTGTATGGTTAGATTCCTGTCCTGGTGCAGGAATGGTCCCCAAGAACCTCCTGCTGGGTTGGAGCTTCTGGTTCAGGACAGAAGTGCAAGGTCCTAGGAACCTGCCCCAGCACGCAGCGCTGGAAGAGTCGTGGGCCCTGGAGGGAAGACAAGATTTGAAATGTGTGGAGCGAGAAGTTCATCTGGGGAAAATTCTTCCAAATCTTATAGCTCATATATGAAAAAAAGTTTATGGTGGTTTCCCAAATTTGACAACAATCCAGAACTTTTACATGACACCATTGACAACAGGTTGGAAAATGAAAGAACTTGGCTAAACTATCAATAATTGGAACACAAATTTTAATCAACGGTATTAGAAGGAAAACTGAATTATCTTTCTATTCTCTCCACAGAAAATATTTTCCAAAAAATTACAAAATCTTTGTCCTAAAAAGAGGCCATCAGAGTGAGTAGCCAAAAAATGTAGGAAAAAAGTATTACAGAAATATGTCAGGAAGTCATCAAAAATACGTTATTTTTCTGGATTTTGTATTGTAGTATTAGTCAACTTTTCAAATTTTATCATTTGTCCTGATTTCTTTCCTCATTATTTTTGTTAAATTCTGTTTCTATTTCTGAATTCATAACTTGGTATTCTTTTTCTAAAACAGGAACCCTAAAAACATACAGGCCTCAGGCCCCACTCAACCTGGATTGTGTGTAGTAGAAGGAAGGGAGGAAGGGGGTAAAGGTCCCTTTGGTGAGGTTCAGCCTTCACGCTACTTCCTGGGCCTTGGAGCAAGGGCCACTCAGGCACAAGGGCACGTTCAAGGCCTCCATAAAGGTGAAGGCAACTCAGGCTGCCTACCTGGTTCCAGGCTGGGGTTACTGGGCCTCAGTGAGGGAGAGTGGGTAGGAGACAGGAAGTGGCTGCCATCGGAAACTCAGAGCAGTGACTATCCCCCTCCTTCTTCCCTGCCAGGCTGGGGAAGAAGAAAACCAGAGCCAGCTGCTTTTCACTGGCAGGACGAAATCCTTAAGGACAGCTCCTGCAGCCTCTCTGAGGTGGTATCAAGGGTGGGTGAAGCAAGGGAGCAGGTGCGACTCCACAGTGACTGGAGGTCCAGAGTGCTCGTCCCCCATCAGAGCTCCTCAGGGTCTGGTTCTAGCCCCTATTCTCCTCAGCCTACCAGGTCCCTCTTCCTGGGCTCCTCCTGCACATGGGAGAAGCAGAATCTCTCACCTGTCACTGGGTGCTGCCCACCTGGCCAGTGTGCGTGGGAGCCTCTGTCTGAGTGCCCTTCTCCACACGCATTTTCCTCAGGACACAGCCAGGCTGTCACCTCCTCAGGGCAGCCTTCCCTGGATCACCCTGACACTTATGTCTTCTCCTGCCACATTGGGGGTCCCCAGGGACGAGTCAGGCCAGAGGAGCAGTGGTAAGTGCTTGGAGGTGGGGTCCTTAGGGAGGAAGGGTCAGCTGGTGGGGATGATGAGCCAGCTTGTGCCCTAGCAACCCACCCACCCATCCTAGGTACTGAAGCCTAGTCCCTCACCAGGAACTCAGTAAGTCAGTTGGCTCTAAGAGTGGACAAGGGGACACAGGACTCAGACAGACCCACAGAGAACTGACACACTGGCCCAAGTCCTGGCCCAGGACCTCAGGCCATCCATATCAGCGGGCCATCAGGCAAAGAGAGGCATGTGTTGGGTCACCCACTCTGGGCAGGAGACCCCTTTATTTGGATATGTGGCTGGGTGGCTAGACGCTGAAGGTGGCCCTCTATATGAACCAGGAGGGCATCCATCATGTGCAGGACCCCCAGGAGTAGTGCACGGTCTGAGATTGGGGCCCGCCGCTTCCAGGGTCCACAGGGGTCAGTGGTCATCAGTGTATGCTGAGGCTAGGACCAAGAGGCAGGAGTGAGAGGGAGCAGAGGGACAGGATGGGGGTGCAGTGAGGAGTAGCAGTGGAGCTAGGGTGGAAGGGTGGGGTGGGGGACAGTGCCTGAAGGGGATGGGGACTCAGGGCACTGGAGGATCAGTCAGGGCCTGTTATAGGTTAGCTTTTGTCATGGGGCCTATGGGTGCTGGGTAAGAAGCAGGAGTACCAAATGGGGACAGATGGGTGCAGGCTATAGGGCGTGGTCAGGGGCTGATGAGTAGACGGACATGGGCTCAACAGAGATGTGTGGACAGATGTAAGGACCATGGGATGTAAGCAGGCAGAGGCAGGAGGCCCACAAGGCATGGGTGGGGAATGGGTGGGCAGATGGGGAGGGCTGGGTGAAGGCTATGGGCGCGTTGGATATGAGCGGAGGCAGGAGGCCAGGGAGGACAGAGCAGTGCTGCGCTCACCTCACTCTTGGCAGCCAGTGAACGCCGCCGCTGCAGCATCGCTCGGCTGATCACCAGCATCATGGTGGTGGTGACAGTGACCCCAGCCACGGGGTAGATATGGTCTGACATGCCCAGGCCCATCCAATGGCCAGGACAGCCCAGGCCACCCCCGCATCCTTCCAGGCTGTTTGGCTGGCACCCCCAAGGCTGCAAGTCCAGCCCCACCTGGTACCAGAGGGGCCGTGACCAGGCGAGGGCGGGGGTGGGTGTGGCCAGCAGGAGCAGTAAGGGCAGTAAGGACAGTGCATGCAGCATGGCTGTGCCAAGTGTCTGGGGCCGGAACCCGGGCGCCTGGCAACCAGCAAACACCCCTCCCCCCAGGGGCAGCCCTGGCTCCAGCTCCCAGGCAGCAGGTTCTAGCTGGGCCCATGGCCACAAAACGGGGGTGGTGGTGGGAGCCAAGCGGAGCTAGGTTCCCGGGCTAGAGGACGGTGGGAGTCTTGGGGCCCTGGGTCTCACCCTCCCAGCTGGTGGGTTGGCCCAAGACTGACGGAGTGCCTCCTTTCCCTCCCTTCCTCCCTCTCTCCAGACCTCCTCAACCCTTTCATCCCCTAAAGCCGCTTCTCTCCACCAGTATCCACACCACCCCAGGCCAAGCTACTCACTAGTCCCCTCCCCTACTCCCCTCCTCCCTCCACCTCAGCCGCACAGTCTACACTGCAGCAGAGTGAGTGCTTAAAAATTGTGAGTCAGACTGAGTTAGGCCCTTGATCAAAACCCACCAGGGCCTCCCATCTCAGGATAAAGCCTGAAGGCCTCTTCCTGGCCTGTGGGGGCGGCCCTGGGAGATGTGGGCTTTCCCCGTCAGCAGGCGTTCTATCTGCTTTGGTACACAATCTCCCTCATGTTCCCTGAAAACACCTGCTGTTTCCAATGCCAGCAATGCTGCTCCCCACTCCTGGAGACAACTTCGCGCGGTTGGGGTCTCAGTTCAGGTGTCACTACCACCTGGGGCTTCCTCCAGTGACCATCTTGGGCAACGCGGGTCTCTCACATGACATTGTTACATTCAGAGCATTTCCAACCACCTGCGATTTCTTGTTTGAGGTCTGTCTCCCACCCCAGTACATCAGCTTCTTTCAGCCAATATTTACCAAGCGCCTGCCATGGGCCAGACAGCATTTCTGGTGCCAGGACATGGCCATGACAGAGCATAAAAACAGCTCTGCCTTCCTGGACTAAGGTTCCCGGGTGGGGGTGGGGGAGGCGGATGGTGTGTAATAAAAGTAGGGCAAGGGGTGTCAGAGCGACTTGGACAGCCTCTGTCCATTCTTGGGTCTGTGCCCAATGCTCGGTACAGAGTCTGGGACCTGACGGCTGGTACAGAGTGGTACCTGATAACCAGCAAACTCACCGTTGTGAAACAGTGATTGTCTAAGCATTTTGTGACGTCAACACATTTAACCCTAAACCTAACCCTGATTATAACTATAACCCTGTTCTGACATTAAACCTTACCCTAGATCTAACCCTAACCAAAAGCCTAGCCCTAACCCTAATCCTATTCCTAACCCTACCCCTGGATCCTACACTAACCCTAACCTTAAGCCTAGCTGTAACCCTAACCCTTAATGCAAACTTTAACCCTAAACGATAACCTTGTATCTAACCCTAACGTTAACTCTTACCCTAGCCCAAGATCTAACCCTAACCCTAACCTTATCCCTAACAAAACACTAAACATATCCCTAACACTAACCCTAACCCCTATCCCTAACTCTAGATCTAACCTTCAACCTGACCATGACCCTAAACATGAAACTACCTCTAATCCTGGGTATAACCCTAGATCTAAACTAACCCTCAACATTAACCCTAACCATCATACTAACCCTAACCCTAGATCTAACCCTAACCCTAACCATAATCCTAACCCTAACATTAGATCTAATCCTAACCCAAAACCTGACCCTAATTCTAAACCTAATCCTAGTCCGTTTTAACCCTAACCATATTGGCTAACCCTAATCCTAGGCTTAACCCTAACTTTACCCCTAGATCTAACACTAACTCTAACGCTAACCCTAACCATAAACTCTAACCCTTAACAGTCACTTAGCAACCCCATAAGGCAGGTACTGTTACCATTCCCATTCTACGATGAGAAGCACAATTGAGGCCCGGGAAGATTCTAGTGACCTGCTCCCCAACCCCCACCCCAATCACTCAGGCCCATCAGCACGAGGGTCTGACCACCACCCACCATGCCACGTGCCTGAATGTTGGCATTTTATGGTCGAAACCAGCACGTGCTTCCTGGCCGTCAGTGACCTGCGAAGTCCAGGCATTCTAATGACATGGACAGGCATTTTTCCCAGAGCAAACATACCAAGCTTGTTCTTATTTTTAAATATGACCAGCAGCACCTGTGAACATCTGAGCTCCCCAAGCTGGTTCAGGTGTTCACCCTGCACGCTCTGGGGACCGTCCAGTGGCACCCGCCCTACTCCGCACCTTATCGAGCGTCCCTGAGAACAATTATTTCCTGAGAAGCAGCGCTGATTTCAACCATGTTATAGCTGAGGACAGAGGCTCTGAGGGCTGTGCGTGGCTAGGGGTATTTGAACCTGGGATGCTGCAATGTAGGCCTGGCCCCACAGCTCTCCCCTTTGCTTCGTACTCTCCCTGCCTGACGCTGCCCTCCCCAAATCTTTCCCACAACCTCTGACCCCAGTTTCCACTTTGGGGCATAAGAAGGTTCAGGAGCCAGGGCTGAGGACTCTCCCTCTCCCGGCCAAGCCCCAGTTAAGTCACAGCAGAGCCTGGGTTAGTCTGGAGTTAGTAAACGACTCTTTATTCTTCAGGCTAAACACACGCATCGGCCCCTCCCCCCGCCCCAGGAGAGTGCCAGCCTGCCTCCAGGACCCCATCCCAGGCCTGGAACACTGAACTTGGAATCCCAGGACCTCCATCCCTGAGTGTGTGTGTGCGTGCACGGAGGGGACTCCTGGGTGGCACCTGGAGGCGACCTACGGGTGGGGGCATTTCAAGGGCTCTCCGTCACACCCTCCAGAGGTGGGCAGTCTCAGGCGAGGCAGCAGCACAGTTAGAGCTTGGTGACCTTAGCAGGCAAAGGAGAAGAGGCTCTGGTCAGTTTCCAAAGGATTCTTCCCCGAACACATACCAACCCCTCTCCCAGGATAGCAATCCCTGCTCTGAGGAGCAGCTTTCTCCAAAGGCAGGAGCGGAAGGAAGGGGGTCCACTGGAGGCAGAGCTGTGGTCACCAGGATGGGTTCCTAGAGTCAGGGTCAGGGTGGGGACAAGCAATAAACAAAAAAGGGCTCAGCAGGCAGCTCACCAAAGCAGGATCGACGGAGCGGGACCTCGGATGTTGGATGGCAAAGACAACAGCATCATGGACAGTGGCAAAGAGATGCTGCTTAGTGACAGATGCATCAAAGAAGTTCCCGACCTCAAGCTGGGTGATCACAGGGGCTGTAGGCAAGGAGTGGGTCACCCTCAACTCAGAACCACCAGGACACCCCAACTCCCAGTCACCAGCAGAATGCCCTGACCTCTGTTACCCCTGACCTCTGCCCCTGAGGCTATAGCTCACCCCCCTGAGTCACTCCTGACCCTTGAACCCTGTTTCCCAGGACACCTCTGGCCTCCAGTTTCAGAGACTTCTTTCTTGTGCCACCTGGCAGACCTCTTGGCCCAAAGAGCCCCACCCCTTCCCCAGACCACTCCAGCTGTACCCACCCCACGTACCGTGGCAGGCGGCCATGTACACCTCCACCTCGATCTCCCGGAAGTCATGGAAAATCTGCAGCAGAAAAGCGAAAACTGAGGCAGGCCTGGGGGAAGGGGCTTGGAGGGGGAGCTCAGAGGGTGTGGGGAGTCAGAAGGCTCAGAGGGCTCTCAGAGCAAGTCATGGGGTCAGGGTGGAGGCTTGAGGAGCCCTGTCCTGCCTCCTGGGTCCTTTTTGGGAGTGCCCCAGCCTCTCACATTCTTCAGGCTCTTGAGGCACACAGTGTCCACAAAGGAAAGGGCACTCAGGTCCAGGATGAGGCTGTGGAAGTCTGGCTGAGGCAGGCCCAGGGCCTTCAGTATGGACACGTCTGGGGCCTTGGCATCTTCTTGATTGCTGGCCTCTGTACTATCCAGCTCATCCTCTGTACTCTCCTGCTGGGGAATGGGACACGCTGCAAGAGCTGACCGTGACGAAGTGAGGGCAGGGACACACAGGGTCAGGCATGAGGCATGTGCCCAGCGTAAACACCCACATACACACAGGCGCACTGGGAACATACAGAGGACACACGAGGACATGGGGAGCTGCACACACATGCGCAGACAAGAGGGACACATGGTATCAGAGGAGAGCGCCACGGACTCGAGGAGCACACAGACATGCACGTGCTGCTCTGCTACCGGCCGCGCTCAGACTTAACAAGGACGCTTGAGAAGGGAGAGTGCTGGGAGGCCATGCCCTATCCTCAGTCAGCCAGAGTGGATAGGGTGGGGGGCCCAGGGACAGAACAAAAGTGGCAGGGAGCCAAGCCCAGCACAGAGGCGCGTGCGTATGTGTGCACATGCTCACACACACACAGACACCTCATGCCCCGCTGGGCTCTCCAGTTGAGCTTGGTATCCCGTTTGATGCCTAGATTTTTCCCACACATCCAAATCCTTCTCTCTAGCCAGGAGCACAGACTGTGGGGTCTGGTGGCATCTACATATTCAAAGTCTTTATCTAGGCCTCAGATTACAGACAAGAGAGCCACAATCAGAGTTCTGTGGCATGTCACAAAAGAGCTCCCCGCAGAGGGGGCCTGTCCATTGCCCCACTCCTCTGGCCACTGGCATCACAGCCTTGAACCCACAGCTGGTGGTCCATGGCTTCTCTCCCAGGACACATGTAGGCAGCCACGCCTCTGCAGCTCATGGCTGGCTCCTCTTCTCCCACCTCCAGCCTCACCATGACCTTGGGGTCCTCCACATTGTTGATCTCAGTATCTCCAAGGCCAGCGTTGACATTGACAGAGAATGAGGTGCCCTTGAAGGAGGCAGCCTAGGCCAGAAAGAGGGGGGACAGGAAACAGCTGTCGCAGCTGCCACACGACAGCCTTACCAGGCAGGCCTGGTGTCGTTCCCTGGCTTTGGGTAGGGAGGTGGCCCAGGACCTGAAGCTGTGGGACTCAGGGCTCTGCTCGGTCAGCAGCCAGCCTGAAGGCTGCAGTCATACAAATGGAGGAAGACTGTGGCCGTTCACACTGTCACTGGCTCAGGAAGTGGAAGAAAAACAAAATACCACCTGGAGCCCTGACTCGCCTGGGGAGTGAGGGCAGGGTCCCTGGAGGCATCCGGGTGGGAGGTCAGGAGCCCAAGAGGCTGGGAGAAAGGCCGGAGTGGGGTCAGCAGTAGGGCAGGGGCAGAGATCAATAGTAGGCTAGGGTTAGGAGTCAGGGGAAGGTTGGCTGGGGTCAACAGCAGAGGTCAGAGGTCAGGAGTCACTGGCTAAAAGGGGTCCCTGCCTGTTTCTGAGGCTGCTTCTTCTGCAGTCGCTTCAGCTTTAGCTCCCGCTTCCTGAGCAGCTTCTTCTTCCGGGAGATGAGGTGGTCAACATCCACACCACACTGAAAGCAAATGTCAGAGAAGGAGGTGTGGCCACTCTGGGGAGGGAGGGGCCTCTGACACCCACCGGGGACCCCGTGCCTCACCCTCTGCTTCAGCGTGTCACTGTAGAGCTCAGCATTGGCAAAGTACATGGTGACCGAGGAGCGGAAGATCTTCACGCCAGGGACCTCCCTAGCCTGGGACAGGTTGGAGTTGGGGGTAGCTGAGCATGTCCCTCCTTCGGCTGCATCATGTTTTCCTGCCTTTCCTTCCCTAGGTGCCCCAGTGCCTGCTGCCCCCAACCCTCTGCTCCTCGGCCAACGTGGGCCCAGCCTAGGGCCCCACTGTCTCCCAGGTGCTTAGACCAGAGGCCAGGCTTTGGTAGCTCTTCCTCTTCCTCTGGGGTCTCCACTCCTGACCTGTGGCCTGTTCTCCACACACAGCCTGAGACCCTCCTAAGCTGCCATCTCAATCAGGCCTTCCCCACTCCCCACCCCATTCAGGACACAGCCCACATCTCTGCTCAGCATTCTGACCTGCACAATGTGTCTGCCCCACCCAGTTCCCTTTCCATCCAGCTGGGCTGCTCCCTCCTGCCCTTCCCACATCTCAGAACCCTTGGTTCCTCCTCCGCTCTGCCTAATCACGCTGTGCTCAGCCTTCAAGACTCAATGTCAAGGTGAACAGGCTTATCCCAGAGCCCTCCATCTATGTCCCCAGCACCTAGCACAAGACCTCTCAGGAGGTGAACGATTGGGGATTTAGTGACTCCAATGACCAGATCAGGAAGCAGCCCCCTGTACCCTGGTGCTCCAGGATCCTGCCCCTCTGGCACCCCTGTCCCAGGGCTGCTCCATAGGATGGAACTTGTGCTACTGGCTCTAAGACTGTCTCCCCCATGGGCCCCCAGACCCATCTCTGTACACTCTTCCTCTGTCCCCTCATACCCCAGGGGAGTCATAGACCCAGACCCCTCCCCTGAAATTCCAAGGACCAAAGCCAAAGTGTCCTCAGCTCCTAATGTCATTGCCAGGTGTGGAGAAGACTGACGAAGGCCTGTCCTGCTTCTGTCCCACCCCACCCATGACATCCTCCTTTCTCAGCCCCTGCTGTGAGTACTCACCTCTGAGTACTCTGCCACATCTCTGTAAACATCTGTGTCTGGCACCTGCCCCAAGACAGAGTAGTGGGGTCTGTGGAGAGGAGAGAGAGTTTGAGATGAGGTGGCATGAGACAAGGAGGCAAAGATAGGGCAACAGGGGGTATTATGGAGCCTGAGGGTCCACTCAGAGATGTGGGGAGGGTGGAGGGAGCCAGTGTAACCTCACTCCCTCCCTACCTGAAACGGGGTGGGGGCGCAAAAGGGGTTGACTCACAGCTGTGTGCGGACCACCACGAGCAGCAAGGAGAAGACCACCGCAACTGCCAGGCCAATGTCCAGGTTCAGCAGGATAGTGGCCACAAAGGTCACCAGCCAGATCAGCTGAGGATAGGAGGGCAGCAGGCAACAGGGTCTAGCAGGGCCACTGGGCCAAAGGCCCCTCAGTCCCACCCCTGGGCTCCCAGGCCTCTCACCAGATCCACTCGATTTGCCTTCCAGAGGGAGCATAGGTCCTTGAACTGCATCATCATGCCCTTCAAGTTCACAATAACGACGGCTGCCAGGACTGCCTGGGGTGGGGGTGGGGGGAGGGGTGTCACTGAGAGATAACAGATATTGACAACACCAAACATCAGGGCATGACCCAGACTGACCCCATACACCTGGACATAACCCCAACCGACACTGACCACTGTCCACCCCATCTCTAGCAACTTGACTCTGACTCTGAAAGGCTCTAACCCCTGACCCTTGACTCAAGTCCCACTCCAAAGATCTCAACCTTGAAAAACAGGACATGACCTTGTATCTCTATCCATCATCTGGGACCTGACTGGTCTGAACCCCTGGCCAGGCCAAGGCCCCCAAGCCCAGCTGGGTAGGGGTGAGGGTGGGTGCTCACCTTGGGCAGGTCTTGGAAGAGTTCCCCAAGTTTGACAATGATGATGAGGATGAAGAGGGAGGAGACAGCTCCGGCCACCTACAGGGTGAGGGTGAGCGAGGAGGGGTGGGGGTGAGCGAGG